TGGGTGAATACATCTCATATTACTGATTTACTGGTAGTCACGAGAACAATACTTAATTAGAAAAATAAATATGTTTTGCTTCATGTAAATATAGCTTGTGATGTAGAGCCGGTTAGTCCTCTTGAGTGGCTGAGTTTCAATTACTCTCCTAAGTTAACATTGTTAGGAAGACTTTAATTTCACATAAAAATGCATGATACAGAGATTGGTAGGTAGATCTCACCGGAAGACGATGTCGGATTGCAGTTAGACAGCCTTTTGGCCGCAATACGACTTTCAGTTTGACGCAGTTTACGAGCCATCCTCCCTCGTTTCAAGTGAACAACGGGAATCTCATTAAGAGCATTTTCCAGCTTCTTATGAAATAGAGTTTAGTTAAACTGAAAATCTTCACATGACCTGTAAGGTCATGGATGCGAATTGAGAGAGCCAGGGGAGGAGAGGAGAGATTTTTGATATTGCCTTGACCTTGTTTTCCAATGTTAGTAATGTTTATCGAGCGACTTAGAAGAAGGCACTACGTAACTCATACTCTGCCGGTTTTGCCTGGCCTACTCTCGTCGGACTGCAATGATCAAGACAGCTCTATTCAGATTTGTACTATTGTTTTGCTCGTAAAAGTGGGCTGACTTCAAATATGAATTTGACGTTTGTGCTTTGCACTCAGCATGGCTCATTTTGTGTGTTTGTGTGACTTCAGTGCTGATGAAGCGTGTATGTATGCTGCTGAATAGCAGTCCGGTACTGGAGGGAGTCATAAAAACAGTACGAGGTAAGAATACTTCAAAGTCCGCCTATGAACTGGATCTTCTCAGTGAAAAGTGAGTACAACCGGAATAATGGCTCCGCCATCTCGATCTTCATGTCTGGACCAGATGGTCCTTTGGAGCTCTATCCTGTTCCATTGAAGCTCCTATAAAAAGGATGACCCTCGGCCAAGTTGCACCATCTTGGAAATCCTTTAGAGGACTCTAACCACACGAGATCGCGTGTGCCAGATCGCCTGCATACAGAAGAACGCAAAACTGTCCGATCTCCGGCCTCCCAAAGGGATATTGTTATTCCAGCAGACGGCCTCCTGAGAGAGGAAGAGACTGTTCATTCGACAGCCAGTATCATCATCTACCATGACTCGAGTATTTTCTCCTTTCTGGCTCAGCCAGACGGGATCTGACGTTCTATGGTCAGGCCACTCCCACCGTCCGTTCTCCAAAGGCACTACGGCTTAACCCAAACATGCTGGACGAGTATTCATGCCCTACCCTATCTGCTGATTCCTCCTCTGTTTGACCGTAGTAAACCCAAACAGACAAGTGATTTATTGCGTTGGAGTCGAGTGAAATTCACAATTTTATGGAGGCCACATTGTGCCTGCCCGGCCGGTTGCTGCATGTGCTTCTTTCTCCCTTCTCCCGGCAGGGCTTGGTGCATGGAAGACTATCGCTTCTTCATAAATGATGGCCAGTATCCCGCCACGGGTGCATTGTGTTCCCAAGAGAGGGTGACTAAATAACCAAACTTGATGCAATAAAATTATCATTTTAGTCGGATGAAGAATGGGGATCCAGGGGTCTCACATCCAGCCTTGGGCACAAATAGCCCGTGCAGATTGCTGAATTCCATAAATTTATGGATATAAAGTTTTAGTTCTGACAGCATCGCACGCTCCACCCGAGCAAGTTTTCGGGTCTTCTGCCAGCAGTGACTTAAAGTTAAAGAAATGAACTGGAAGAACAAACAATGGCCGTGGCAATGTGCACTGGAATTTGGGTAATTGACTGTCCGGTTGCCATACAAATAAGGCAGGAAAGAGCTAATTGAATTTCCCGTTCATAAGTAGGTTTGCGAGATAACCAGTATATATGATATAAGAGTTATATTCACCCTATTTCGTCCAAGGTGATAAAGGACTGGTAGTTGAATTTCCCCACAATCCTATGAGTAGGCCTCAGGATTCCATTGAAGTCAATGTAGCCTTGTTTCTCAAGAGGTATTCTCATCCCAATTGGACTGGAACGCAGTGTGGACCTCGTCTGAACAAGTCTTATCAGCACCCCAGCGGGACTCAAACCATGACTGGGGCAGTCTCGACACCGCACTGCCACGAGTGCCTTTGCGTCAAAGACAGACGTAAATTTCAAAGAAGTCTATGCCTTTCGCGTATTCAATTTTTTTGGTGAATTTTCGACAAAGTGGTAGTCTTAAAAATCAACTTATAAACGGGATAAAATTATGGTTGGAGTTGCTGTAATTTTGTAAGAAAGTGCATGAAGAAGAGATTTGAAGATTGATTTGACCACAAGTCGACGACTGATTCCTTTGTACATCAGTCGTTTGACTTTAATACGACTTTTCAGTTGACGCTGTCCACGAGACATCCTCCCTCGCTGTCCCTCGCTTCGGCTCAAAACGAGCTGAGCTTTCGTCCATCATATGATGGACATTCTCAGAGTTGGAACTCATTCTTCTAAAGTTTCGTGTATCCGGCTCTATCTCACCTCTTCTACTTACTCATACCAAAAAAATGAAAATGAATAGGTATAGATAGATGTAGAATGGTTTTGCTAATTATCTTTTTATTAGTCCTGCTACTTTTGTTAGAGTGTGTAAGTTTGTGTGTCAACGTCTATACGTTATACCGGTCCTAAATCAAGGTGATCAAAAAAACTTAATGTGAGCTCTTGTCCTTAATTAATTTGCTCGATTGTCATGGCAAATACAACTTTGCTTCATCGACACTCTCGCTACAGAAATGGGAAATGGAAAAGGCCTAGGCTTCCTTGAAATTCACATCTGCCCTAAGAAGCAAGGACTATCGTGGCAGTGTGGTATGGTGGTTGGATGTAGAGACTATTTGCTGTACTACCACAGCCTGGGTTCAAGTCCTGTTGGGGTGCTGATGAGACCAGTTCAGGTGATGTTTAAACTGCAGTCCTGCTTATTCTGGATGATAATGTTTTTTGGGAAGTGATAGAAACGTGAGCTCAACTAATTCGATTATGGGAAACTTCACCTAACAGTCCTTCATCACCTTAAACGAAATAGGATGAATATAACTCTTATAGTGGATTGACTCATTTCAAGAACTCAGCCAGAAAAATGAATGATCTAATTCATCATGATTGCGATAAACTGATTACGCATCGTATGCTGTATCAAGCACC